CCCCATAATCTCCCTCAAATCGCCCCAAATCCCTTCGGATTCCCCCCAAAAACATCCAAAACTCCCCAAAAATCCCCAAAATTCCCAAAAATCCCCCCAAAATCCCCAAAATTCCCCAAAATCCCCAAAACTCCCCAAAATTCCCCAAATTCCCCCCTCACTTCATGGCTCGCGCCGCTGCCTCGCGCCGCCGCCGAGGCCCCGCCCCCCGCCGGCCCCGCGCATTCCCATTGGTCAGCGCTGATCCCGCCTCGCTCTCCCATTGGCTGCCGCAGCTGCCACTCACGGGGGGGGGGGAGAGCGCTGCCGGGGAGGAGCAATCGAGCGCCGAGCGATGGATCGGGGGAGGCTGGTGGGGGCAGAGAGGAAAAATTTGGGGATTTTGGGGGTTTTTTGGGGATTTTTGGGGAATTTTGGGGAATTTTCGGGTCTTTGGGGACATTGGGGGAAGCGCGATTAAAATTTTGGATTTTTGGAGACATTGTCGGGGTGGGGGATGAGAAGAAATTTGCGGATTTTGGGGTTTTTTTGGAGATTTTTTGGGATTTTTGGGGAATTTTCGGGGATTTTTGGGGGCATTTGGAGACATCGGGGGAGGGGCGACAAAAAAATTTGGGGAATTTTGGTGATTTTTTGGATTTTTAAAAAAATTTTTGAGGACTTTGGGGAGAGCGGCCAAAAATTTTGGGGATTTTTGGGGTTTTTTGGATTTTTTTGGGTTTTTGGGGATTTTTTGGGGGTTTTTTTTGGGATTTTTGGGGGAGGGGCGACCAAAATTTGGGGGATTTTTTTTGGATTTGCGGCTGTGACGTCACCGAGGGCGGGGTGAGAGAGGGGCGTGGCCTCCCACACCTATCCGTTAATGAAACTCATTTGCATAAATCTGCATAAATTAATTTTATTTGCATTTCACGCTTTTATTGCCAAAAAAGCTCCCGCGAGAATTCACCCGAAGCGCCGGCAAAAAACCAGCCGGGATTTGGGGAGAAAATCCCAAATTTGGGGAAAAACACAAATAATATTTAAGTCCCAAATTTGGGCGGAAAGGCACAAATCGGAGGGAAAAAAAAATCCCAAATTTGGGGAAAAAAATCCCAAATTTGGGGGAAAAAAATCTCAAATTTGGGGAAAAAACACAAATAAAAGTCCCAAATTTGAGGGGAAAACACAAAGCGGAGCGGAAAATCCCAAATTTGGGGGAAAAACCCAAATTGAAGAAGAAAAAAGTCCCAAATTTGGGGAAAAAAACCACAAATAAAAGTCCCAAATTGGAGGAGAAAAACCCAAATTGAAGGAGAAAAAAATCCCAAATTTGGGGAAAAAAAACCAAGTAAAAATCCCAAATTTGGGGGAAAAGGCGCAAATTGGTGGAGGAAAATCCCAAATTTGGGGGAAAAAAATCCCAAATTCGGGTTAAAGGCACAAATTGGATCGGAAAAATCCCAAATTTCATTTTTTTCCTGATTAAAAAATCCCCCAGCTCGGTGTCCCCTGCCCCGAATTCTTTTTGGGGGGAAAAAACCCAATTTTGGGGAAAAATACCCCAATTTTAGGGAATACAAAAACCTCGATTTTGAGGAAAAATACCTCAATTTTGGGGGAAAAAAAGCCTCAATTTTGGGGTAAAAAAACCTCAATTTTGAGGAAAAATACCTCAATTTTGGGGGAAAAAAAGCCTCAATTTTGGGGTAAAAAACCCTCAATTTTGGGGTAAAAAACCCAAATTTTGGGGGAAAACCCCAATTCTGGGGAAGAAAAAAAAACTGATTTTGGGGAAGAACAAAAATGGCCAATTTTGGGGCCAAAATCCCAATTTTGGGGTTTGTGGCCAGAGGGAATTTGGGGGAAATGAAGAATTTTGGAATTTCTGGGAAGCCCTGGGGCCAAAATCCACAAATTGAAGCGATTTTGGGACGTTTGGGGGGATTTGGGGTTTTTTGGGCAGATTTTGGGTTTTTTTGGGTGGATTTTGGGGTTTTTTGAAGATTTAGGGTTTTTTAGGAAGGATTTGGGGTTTTTTTTGGGAAGTTGCTCCTAAAATTCCCCTCAGGGATTTTAATTTTTTTTTTTTTTTAACAAAATTTTTGGGGGAAATGGGAATAAAAATCCAAGAAAATGGGAAAAAAAATCCAGAAAGTGGGAATAAAACCCCCCAAATATTGGGAATCAAACCCCAGAAAATTGGGAATAAAACCCCAGAAAATTGGGAATAAAAATCCAGAAATCGGGAATAAAACCCCAGAAATTGGGAATAAACCCCCAGAAATTTGGAATAAAAATCCAGAAATTGGGAATAAAAATCCAGAAATTTTGGGAATAAAACCCCAGAAATTGGGAATAAAAATCCAGAAATTTGGAATAAAAATCCAGAAATTGGGAATAAAACTACAGATATTGGGAATAAAACCCCAGAAATTGGGAATAAAACCCCAGAAATTTGGAATAAAAATCCAGAAATTTTGGGAATAAAACCCAAAAAATTGGGACTAAAAATCCAGAAATTGGGAATAAAACCCCAGAAATTTGGAATAAAACTCCAGAAATTGGGAATAAAAATCCAGAAATTTTGGGAATAAAACCCCAGAAATTTTGGGAATAAAACCCAAAAAATTTGGACTAAAAATCCAGAAATTGGGACTAAAAATCCAGAAATTGGGAATAAAAATCCAGAAATTGGGAATAAAACTACAGATATTGGGACTAAAACCCCAGAAATGGGGAATAAAACCCCAGAAATTTGGAATAAAAATCCAGAAATTGGGAATAAAACCCCAGAAATTTTGACTAAAACCCAAAAAATTTGGACTAAAACCCCAGAAATTGGGACTAAAAATCCAGAAATTGGGAATAAAAATCCAGAAATTGGGAATAAAACCCCAAAAATTGGGAATAAAACCCCAAAACTTGGGAATACAAATCCAGCCCCGGCTGGGATTTGGGGGTCTGGGCTCCCGAATCCCGGGAAAGGATCCGGGAAATTGGGGGGAAAAAAGGAGATTTTGGGGCTGCTTTGGCCTCGGGATCTGCTGGGGGGATCCACCCGGGGGTTCCCACGGGATCCGCACGGGATCCAGCCTCGGTTCCGGGGGGAATTCCCAGGGGATCCCCTCGATTCCGGCTGGATCCCCCTCGATTCCCAGGGGATCCCCCCTCGATTCCGGCTGGATCCCCCCTCGATTCCCAGGGGATCCCCTCGATTCCCAGGGGATCCCCTCGATTCCGGCTGGATCCCCCTCGATTCCGGCTGGATCCCCCTCGATTCCGGCTGGATCCCCCTCGATTCCGGCTGGATCCCCCCTAGATTCCAGCTGGATCCCCTCGATTCCGGCTGGATCCCCCTCGATTCCCAGGGGATCCCCTCGATTCCGGCTGGATCCTCCCTCGATTCCGGCTGGATCCTCCCTCGATTCCAGCTGGATCCTCCCTCGATTCCGGCTGGATCCTCCCTCGATTCCGGCTGGATCCCCCCTTTTTTCCCCAGGGGATCCCCTCGATTCCGGCTGGATCCCCCCTCGATTCCCAGGGGATCCCCCTCGATTCCGGCTGGATCCCCCCTCGATTCCGGCTGGATCCCCCCTCGATTCCNCCCCCTCGATTCCGGCTGGATCCCCCCTCGATTCCGGCTGGATCCCCCCTCGATTCCCAGGGGATCCCCTCGATTCTGCCTGGATTCCCCCTTGATTCCGGCTGGATTCCCCCTTGATTCCGGCTGGATCCCCCCTCGATTCTGGCTGGATCCCCCCTTTTTTCCCCCGGGGATCCCCTCGATTCCCACTTGGATCACCCCTCGATTCCCAGGGGATCCCCTCGATTCCCAGGGGATCCCCTCGATTCTGGCTGGATCCCCCCTCGATTCTGGCTGGATCCCCCTCGATTCCCACTTGGATCCCCCCTCGATTCCAGCTGGATCGTCCCTTTTTTTTCCCCAGGGGATCCCCCTGATTCTGGCTGGATCCCCCTCGATTCTGGCTGGATCCCCCCTCAATTCCGGCTGGATCCCCCCTCGATTACCAGGGGATCCCCTCGATTCCAGCTGGATCCCCCCCTCGATTCCCAGGGGATCAACCGTGGGTTCCCATCGGGATCTCCCCTCGATTCCCGCTCGATCCCGAGGGATCCCCCGGGATCGATCCCAGCCGGATCCCCACTCGCTCACACAGATCCCCGCTCCTGGTGCCGGTCCCGGCGGATTCCAGGGGGATCCCGGTGGATCCGGCTGGATCCCCACTCACAGGGATCCCCGATCTCGCTGTCAGATCCCAGGAGATCCCAGACCATTCCCACTGTTTGTGGAGGGATCCCGGTGGATCCAGCAGGATCCACACTCCGGGAGATCCCTGTTCTTGTTGTCAATCCTGGCGGATCCCAGCGGATCCCGGGGATCTGCTCTCACCGTCGCTCCCATCAGATCCTGGCAGATCCCAGCCCATTCCCGCTGATTCCAAGGGGATCCTGGCGGATCCAGCGGGATCCCCTCTCGCAGGGACCCCAGTTCTTGTTGTCAGTCCCGGTGGATCCTGGTGGATCCCAGGGATCCACTCTCGCCGTCACTCCCAGCCGCTCCCATCGGATCCCGGCAGGCCCCAGCAGATCCCAGCCCATTCCCGCTGATTCCAAGGGGATCCCAGTGGATCCAGCAGGATCCCCTCTCGCAGGGACCCCAGTTCTTGTTGCCAGTCCCGGTGGATCCCGGGGGATCCCGGGGATCCGCTCTCGCTGTCGCTCCCATCGGATCCTGGCAGATCCCAGCCCATTCCCGCTGATTCCAAGGGGATCCCGGTGGATCCAACAGGATCTCCTCTCCCAGGGACCCCAGTTCTTGTCAGTCCCGGCGGATCCCGTTGGATCCCGGGGATCCACTCTCGCCGTCAGTCCAAGCTGCTCCCATCGGATCCCGGCCAATTCCCGCTGATTCCAAGGGGATCCCGGTGGATCCAACAAGATCCCCTCTCGCAGGGACCCCAGTTCTTGTTGCCAGTCCTGGTGGATCCCGGGGATCCGCTCTTGCCGTCACTCCCATCGGATCCCGGCAGGCCCCAGCAGATCCCAGCCCATTCCCGCTGATTCCAAGGGGATCCCGGCGGATCCAGCGGGATCCCCTCTCGCAGGGACCCCAGTTCTTGTTGTCAGTCCCGGCAGATCCCGTTGGATCCTGGGGATCCGCTCTCGCCGTCACTCCCATCAGATCCTGGCAGATCCCGGCCCATTCCCGCTGATTCCAAGGGGATCCCAGTGGATCCAGCAGGATCCCCACTGCCAGGGACCCCAGTTCTTGTTGCCAGTCGATCCCGGTGGATCCCCGGGACCGGCTCTCGCCCATTGGATCCTGGCAGATCCCGGCCAATTCCTGCTGATTCCAAGGGGATCCCGGCGGATCCAGCGGGATCCCCTCTCGCAGGGACCCCAGTTCTTGTTGCCGGTGGATCCCGGTGGATCCAGCAGGATCCCCTCTCGCAGGGACCCCAGTTCTTGTTGCCGGTGGATCCCGGTGGATCCCGGTGGATCCCGGTGGATCCCCGGGACGGGCTCTCAGCGGGGCGGGCGGCCCAGCCGGCGGAAGACGCCGCCGGAGCTGCTGCTGCTCACGGCGCCGTCCTGCGCCGCCGGCCCGGCGCCCTCGCGGCGCCGCTTCAGCACGCCGGCGTACGGCAGCGCCTCGGGATCCACCGGATCCCCCGGCCGATCCCCCGGCGGATCCCCCGGCGAGTCCCCCGGCGCCGCGCCCAGGCGGCTGAACACCCCCGAGGGCTGCGGGGACGCGGGTGCAGGGTGGATCCCGGATCCCCCAGTGGGTGCAGGGTGGTTCCCGGATCCCCCAGTGGGTGCAGGGTGGATCCCGGATCCCCCAGTGGGTGCAGGGTGGATCCCGGATCCCCGAGTGGGTGCAGGGTGGATCCCGGATCCCCCAGTGGGTCCCAGATCCCGCCCTGGATCCCTGAGCCTGATCCCGCACTGGATCCTGACTCCTGATCCTGCCCCAGATCCCAAATCCCACCCAGGATCCCCCCCATGCCGATCCCCAAGTGGATCCCAGATCCTGCCCTGGATTCCAGATCCTACCCCAGATCCCACGTGGCCAATCCCCAAGTGGATCCCAGATCCCGCCCCAGATCCCTGATCCTGCTCTGGATCCCAAATCCAGATCCTGTCCTGGATCCCACCTGGCCGATCCCCGAGTGGATCCCGGATCCTGCCCTGGATCCCTGATCCTCCCCCGGATTCCAGATCCCCC